ACCCCGGACCTATAAACCTGCAATAAAAGATGTTAGTGTGTTTTGCATATTAATAATATTGCATGAATAACACACCGCTGGTAGATTCACAGACACAGAAAGTGGCATTTAAAAGGTTAAATTGGTCCGGCCCAAAGCTCATGCAACCTAGGATGTTGCTGTCATCTTTCTGCTCCTGTAAAAAGAAACACACATAGATTCATCCACCCTTTGTCATGTCCAGGTGGAGGTTCAATCTTAGATACTGGTCAAGTCAGTCAAGTCTTGTCAGCTTTTACCAGTCCAGTCAGTTCCCCATTTTTATTTTCACTCATTCTTCATTCATTCATTCATCCATTCTTTCTTTGCTGATAGTGGAAACTATTGTCGCATTTCATTTCCACCCTCAGCAAAATGACGTCATTTCAAAAAGGAAAAGAAGAACTTTAGATCGGATTACCTCACTGAATCCTTTTTGGGCCGGGACTCATTTTCTAATTGTCCCAAATAAGTGACTTTCTCCTGAGCCCATTTTAATGTGGAGAAACTCACTTGCAACAATTTTCTCGACGACGTGTCGTAAGGCGCTTTTGTTCTAATCGTGCAGATCTGCTCAAACGACCAAGATTATCACACAAAACTTTCAGTGCACTGTGAAAGTATCAAAATAAAAAGGCCTTGTTAAGTCATGACACAAGCTCCTCATCTCAGGAGGGCAAATCATAACAAACCTAATTGGCAGGCTCAACTTTGCAACAAAAGAAAAATCATCAGCTAGATTAATTCCAAACCATCCATCCATCAGCCGCACAACACACAACATAACCCTAATTTTTTATTAGATATGAGTTTAATCCCCAGGTCTGTGCTTTTCACTCATGTAGGCCACAGACCCATTTTATTCAGTTTTTCTTTTTCCCTTCATCATAAAACGTGACATGTTGTCATGCACTTCACAAAAGAAGTTTGTTCTTATGTGTTCAGAGGTGTGTATCTGGGTGCAGGATTCACTCGCACATCAAAACCAGGAAACTCAGTGTTTTAGAGTCTCCACTCTAACAGACTCCAATACATCCTGTTCACTCGTGCTAGAATTCAATCACCTTTCCTTAATCTAAGAATGATCAACCAATTTGTATATCAGCAATTAACCCACCAAGTTGACAGGACAACAGAAATGCACGTTGAAAATATTATCACAAAAGAGAATTTCATTCATACTGTAAATTACTTGTGCTGCATCAATCAAACAGGAAGCATCTCCCAATTTACTATATCAACGACTAAATTTATTGTCTGTTCACTGGTTGGTCAAACCAGAATCTTTTTTCCCACAAAAGTTAAACTGTTGTCCTGCAACCTAGAGAGTTAATTGTCAGCATTGGATAAATTCAGTATTTGATAACAAGTGTCTGCTAAATTTACACTATTTTAACAGAGATAACAAGCTGATCTTTATTGCATGTTTGTGTGTTATTAGGCAGGTTTAATGCATGTCTGTGGAGCTGCATCTCCAGCAGGACCTTAAAGCTGCCTTTCCTACACACTTCTCTGGTATTATTTTATCATTTTTTTAACTAATGTGCTATGAGTCCACTGATCTTTGCATCACTTTTCATCACACTGAGTGACTTGGACAAGATGATAAACAGACTCACGTGCTCAAGATGTTGTCTAATCTTGTGTTTGTGTTTGTAAGGTTAATACATTTTCTGTTTGTGTGTGTGATTTTGTATGTTTCTTTTTGCAGTGTTTCAGACTCCTTCACAATTTTCCCACTTAAGCAGTCAATTTTCTTTTTCCCAGGTTTGCTAACCCAAATTTTGATTTCCCACATTAAACAACAGCATTCCTCTGTGTTCTCACCTACTCCTCTCACTCTGTTGTCTTCTCCCACTTCAACAGTCCAATAGCAGGCAGTTCTCTTTCAGCTTTGTCATGTGTTCCACTGTCTCTTCTTGCCATTTTACTCCAAAAGTGGCAAATGTCAAACTCCAACAGTCTCCTCAAAAGTTCTTTTCACAAGCACAGTGAATTTACAGTTTGCTGGAAACACAGTGCCATTCATCCAATCGATCAGAATAATGGGTTTGCTCTTCTTCTCTGATGCTGTTTGTCCACACTGCTGCTGCTTGCTGGGTCTCTTTGCTCAGGACTCTGCTGCTGTCTCTTTATCTGCCATGTTATTGCTCTTTGGAACTGCATTCCTTGTCTTCAGGGAGGAGTGAGAGCTCGCTTGTGAGGTTGAGGGACACATGGTGTTGTAAATAAGTTTATATAAGCCAGAAACTTGGCCTGAACGTTTCCAATGATGTTAACCTATAACTTTCTTCCAACCGCTGCATGTGGAAAATTGATTCAGGTCTGCTTTTCACCTGAAAGTGACAAACTAAGACATTTTCATTATTATCATCACTGCTTAACCAACACACATCTCTCTCTCTGTTTTTTGTGAACTCTCATTTCTTAAAAGCAGAAAATGAGATCATAGTTGTTCTTGGCTGAGAAACACAAACCCTTTTTCCTATTATTATTTTCCATCTACAATGTAAATTTTGCCTCTTTTTATTCTTTTTTTTCCCTTTACAATAGCTGGTGACCTGCAGAATCACCAATTACTTTTACACAGCGCACACACACACACACTGCGACGTCAGGCACATTCACACTCACTTTTTTCATCTGCGTAAATAAATCATATGGCTGATGATATGTGCCATGGTGATTCATAAGTATGATCACAAGTTTATTTAGTTATTTTTCAACCCAACAAAACAAATAAGCAAAAACATGATGCTGATGCTATGAACACTCTACACACATGAGTCAAGATGCAGGAAAACTGCTGCGCATCTGAAAGAAGAAGCTGAACTCACGGAAACGCTGCACACTCCAGTTATCATAGTTCTGTTTCCCTCTCTTCGATGAGTTCTCAGCCAGCTCCCGATCTGATAATGTGTAGCTTGCTCATCAGCTCAGAAGAGACCGCAACACAACCTCACACACTGGTTGCGTGCTTTGCCCCACAGTGGCAAAGACTTGCACTTTTATATTCAATTCAGCTTCTCCATCATGTAGTTTTCAGCTGCTTCATACAGGGTTCAGTATGGAAGAAATATAGTATCATCAGAATTCAAGTATTTTGTGTGCTCTATATCTCAAAAATGGCTCATATTAGGATGACAGTTTTTCTATGCACATCATTAGTTTAAATATTTACCTATTCTACTTCAGCTCATATGTCATTGTACTGAATTTGAGCAACCCTAAGCTTAATGCAGATTACTTTTAGCAAGTGGTTAAATTTATGGTCTGGAGCACAGGCTGTTGTTGATCAGGCATGAGGCGTCTCCCTGTGAGGCAGGCTTACTTGCTCGGGAACCCATGATAACAACAACAACCGTGTCACAGACCACGCCTGCTCCGCAGTCATTCACACAAACACAACAACACTCTTTTGGGACCCTAACCCAGTCACGTGACTCAAAACCCAGTGAAGGGACGCTCGGGACACAAATCCAGGGCGATTTTAAAACCGGACACGCACCGGACGCTTGGGCCCTTGGGCGATTTTACCAAAACCTCTCTTTTGGGACCCTAACCCAGTTCTGGGACCCTAACCCAGTTCTGCGGTTATAGAGTCGCTTTCTCAACTTACTCGGCGTTGCTTAGTGTGTAATACTAGCCTCGAATCCCGTCGGTCGTCACTCATCGAGGAGGAGAAAAAAAACAGACGGCTAATCCACCGGCCCGATGACAAATTCTCACGTCTCGGGACTTAACTGAATGTCGACTCCAGGACTCCGGCTCGGAGGACCAATTAATGATAGGTTTGTAGCTTAAACCTATTCGCTGGAACGTTCAAGACAATTCTACTACACAGCAAAAGCAAGACACGAGTAGGCAAAGTTCTTTATGTTTCTCGTGCACGGGTGAGAACTGGACAAACGCCGTTCCTTCGCTTGACCCCAGTTGCTCTCGTCCGCTCCCCCGTAACACTGCTCTTTTATTGAGGTTACATGAATATACATAGGTTCATTAACATATGACATCTACATACACACAAAGCATATAAGCATATATGAGTAGATATTTCTAAGCATAAATGACAATCAACAATACAAATCTAACAGTCATGCTTCTAAAATCATTTATAAGCCCTCCCTCCCCTTTTCATTCAACATCTGTGGTTTTCCCTAAAGTCATTAGTCATAAAGCACACTGGTTTTAGTATTTTAGCGTATAGTGAGCAAGTCAGTAAAGCAAGAGCAGGATTATCTTTCCCTCGTTAAAATGAGCATCTTTTCTTCACAAACGCAGCTCTTTTACTTTTTTACCACCATTGTCTGCCAGTTCTGTTTTCTCCATCTGTCTCCCACTACTTCACACATCTCCCTTTTCTTTGACCTCATCGTGCTTTCCTGTTTTCTTATCTCGGTGTCTCTCTCTTCCTTTCTCCATCAAACCCTTCTTTTCTTCGTCTTCGCCATGCCTGCCTCTCTGTGTCCATCTGCCGTGCTAAACCAAGCGACTGATTGTATTTCAGGCAGTCAGTGAGGTAAATAATCTAGGCCTGCATGCTGGGCTTGAGGGACATGTCCATGAGTATCCCTGGATTGAGCCCCTGGGTGGTTGGGGGGTAGAATAGATGTTGGACAGAGGCAAAGATTCAGACTTCAAGTCATGGATATTTGATACCCTTATTAATAATATGAAACAATTACACAAAACGACCACCTACATGGAAGCCAACATGCCAGTTTCTCCGCCTATACATGTGAACAGGAAAAACAGGATTATATCATGACTCATGCACCAAAAATAGCTCCAGTTTTCTTTACATTACAACTGACACAGTTCCTACCTACAAACTGTATCCCTGCGTTACGCTGTTGACTAATTAAAAATATATTCATATATAGCGTCATTTCCTACACCTCATTCTTCTATATTTATCTGCCCTCATGAAGTCGGCCTGTGTTTGACTGTGTATCTGCATTGATTGCTGTGTGCCCCTGCAGTTCGACATGCAGCAGCTGTCTCTGGATGAGCTGAAGCAGGTGCTGTTCCACGCCTTCCGGGACCACCTGACAATGAAGGACATAGAGAACATTATCATCACCGAGGAGGAAAGCCTCAATGAAACCTCAGGGAACTGCCCTGAGTATGAGGGAGGTGAGGAAGCAGTTCTCGTGGAAACTTTGTTGGTATAAAAAGGTGCTTTGGGCAGTAAACACTAATCTCTTAATGATTCAAATAACAACATGCACTATGCTTATTCGAACTGATTAAACAATCCAAAGTACACATATTTGTTTTTTTGCCAAGAGCCTGGTGAGTAGATCAATATCACTTTTATTTCTGTGTGCTATGAAGCTACAGCCAAGAGGCAATTAGACAAGAAGCAGGGGGAAACCAGTTTCTTTCTCTCTCCACATCTCTGGATTATCCCTGGTGGCTGTTTATGAGAGATAATCAACCAATCAGAGCTCAGGAGGATGGAAATTAGGGCATCATCTTCCTGCATTGCTAACTAGCCATATTCATTAAAAATGGAAAGAGAAAAACATGGTCAGCATGTATAAGATCGGGACATCTGTACAAGTTGCTGTAAGCTAACTTAATGCAAACTCTGACTTGTTTCTTCAGTGACTGTGGAAAAATCTTCACCAAAATGCCTGTAACAAGACAGATAAGGCAGCTGCTACTTATTGTTTTGGACAAAACTAAATCATACCTCTGGCCAAGTTGACCACAGTTAAATGGATGAGTAAATGGAGTAAAAAAGAAATGCAATTTCACTTTGGCAGCTAACCTGGTTCTCTGCAAAGAATAATACCCAAAAAGCCTCTAACGCTCACAGTTTGGTGTGTTTTGTTTTGGGGGGTTTTCTGTCTTTTATCAGTACACAAAATGAAGCGGTTAAGCTGCAGAACACTGTGTGTTGACTTCCTCGTCTGCTTGGCAAACTCAGTGAAACGTCTCAAGCAAATAATTAAAGCACACGATAACACTCATAACTATTTGCCATAACACCACAAACAGCTGTATTTACAGTTTAGGTGTGGAGTTTTGTAGAGTGCCAGGCTAGCTCTCTGATTCCAGACTTTTTCGCTATGGTGAGCTTTATGCCTTCATACTTGAGGCACATGCAGGCACGAGTCGTCTGATCTCAGCAGTGTGTAAGAAAATAAGCAACACTCCAAACATTATACTAGCCATTTACCATCAGCAAAGGATTATTGCAGTGATCAGTTCTCTTACAGGAGCCCTCGTGCACACTTTACCTGCACAGAGTCATTGTTTTTATTTTTCTGCTTGTCTAGTCAGACATGATCTTGACAGCTGCCCTGGTTTCATTTTGACTATGTCTAGAGAGAGCCACTGATGCAAGTGTGTGCTGTCAGCCAGCTTATCATTGTCTACAAACTAAACCAAGGACTGAATCATGGACTGTATGTAAGCTTTTGGCTGATGTGGAAGTGCTTAAGCCAAAAGAAGGTTAACTCCTCTGACTGCAAAGACAGGTTTGACTGTACAGATAGCCGACAGCAACAAGTACAATTCTAAAACCTTTGCTTTAAATACAGTCTTTTGACTGAATCAAAACAACTTCAACAAATGAGTGAATGTGCTATGGGACTTGACTGGGAGTCATGATGTGCCAGAGCAAACCAGCTGCTCACGAGAAATAAAGTTAAGAGAAATGAAAAGTCTGAGGAAAGGAGAAAACTTAGTGCTACTGGAACAAAGTGGAAACTATATAGCATTGTGCTATGGGTGAATCCTCAGGCTCGCAGAAGCAACCTTTTAAGTGTTGTTTAGCAAAACTTTGAGGTGAAATCCTTCATTTTCTAATCTGCTGCTATATCCATCACAGAAGTTTCACCTGTAAAGTGTTGATCATGTCAAAAAGACTATGAAAAATCAAGACTGCTGAAGTAATATTTAGATGATAAAATCTAAACATCCTGCAGTCATAAATTAATGTCTGTAATTTTTTGAAGCCAGGAGTAAGACAGATTGAAGATTGACGCCCTGCTAAATGTTTGACTGAACAGCTGAAAGACAGGCAATATTTTTCCAGCCTATGAACAACTTATGTCGCTGTAGGGAGAATAGGGAAATGAAAGCCTAAACCTGACCCTGCAGAGCCCAAAATTGCCTGTCTGCTGTGAAACATCCACTGAGTAAGACTAAGACAAAGGTAAAGAAAGATCAAACACATTGAAAAACTTAGAAAGCCTTAATGAATCCACTGGGACTCAGTCTTGGGGAGACCTTAAAAAGAGACAGCTGGAGGGAAATGGTGAAACTAAGCAGAGAAGGGACAGAAGATAAGAGGCTAAAGAGGATCAGGGAACTGCTGGCTTGGCACTCTCTTTCACGAAGTTTTTGGTGTTGAGGGAAGGCTGTATCGTGGAGTTAGGGAGAGCAAAATGGAAAGTATAAAAATGTTGAGAGTGGGAAAATAGGCAGGGGGAGGATATAGAAGACATGAAGAGGTATAGACATCACTTCTACAGGACAGCTGTACACCTCTCCACATTTAACCCTCTTCCCATATACTCAGCTTCCCTCTTTCATGGCTGCTTCGTTCCCATCTGCGTCCTGTCCAGTGGGACCCCAGTGCCTTTCACAGTTCCTCTTAGATCCCCAAGTCTGAGCGCTGACTTGATTTATTGATGCAGTGTGTGATACTAACAACCTGAGACAAGCAGGCTGACAGCAAGGAAACTTTTGGTTGTTACTCCTGCTGCAAGGCCTGTTGGAGGACACATCTGTCTCTGCTCATCTTTTTCTCTCAGTCTCCAAAGATAATGTCTTTAAGGAGGAAAGCAGGGGCCTGTCATCCCAAACACCCCAAGCAGAACAAAAGTTCCACCTTGCGCCTCTTGTCTTTGTTTTTGCTGCAGCTTTGCGTGCATTGTAACCAGTTTTTGCCTCTGATGAATTGATTGTCTTTACACTGGAGACGCTTCAACTCGACGATCTGGGTCACCGAGATAAACTGCAAAACATGGCAACCAGAAATGTTAGCTGCTACTGCACCTGCATTTGTTTGAGTCAAAGAACCAACATGTCTCCTGAGGAACAGGTTAAAATGGTAAAATCTGAATTTTTCATCAAGACCATTAGACACTTGGAGAGAAAATGCCCATTACCTTTATTGTTCCGCAGACTTTATTTTCACCTGACTTTTAGGGTGAGTTAAGCTGACTGCCTCTTAGCTCTGACTCCACACCTAATTCCTAACATAAAAGTGATATTGATCTTCTGGTTTAACTCCCTGCAAGGGAGCTCTTTTCCCGAAATGTCAAGCAAACACCTTACATGACAGAAAGACCCAAATAGAGGCAACCAGGGCCAGGATAAAATCCAAACCTCAAATATTTTGCCAAGTTGAGGTCATATACAGATGGCCACTTGGCATAGCAAAGAATGCAGAAGATGTAATGGGAGAAAAAAAGAGGAACAGACAGACAACCCATGTAGTAAATCAAAGAAATGAGGAGAATACCACACAGAAGGAAGTAAATTGTTTGATAGCTTGACGACTGAGCGGAACGAGACAATCTGGGAGCTTATTACTGGAGAGCTAGGAATATGTACACTGGGGAGATGGATTAGATTAGTAACAGGTGGTGCACAAAATTGGTGGGAAAAACACGGGGAGAAAGTAAAACAAACCACAGTGCATGAAAGTGAGTGACTTCAAACTAAAACAGGAAGTCACAAAGACTATTCATTTGAACGTCCAGTTTCTATTTCTTTGTTTTCAAACTGAATGCAGTAGCAACTGAATTTACCATGACAAAAAATAAGATGTACAAAAAAAAAGACAATTTATAACAATCTCTTCATTTCTCTTCTTTTTTCACTTCTCTCAGTTCATCCCAAGAAGAAGAATAGGCAAACGTGTGTCAGGAAAAGCCTGATCTGCGCCTTTGCTATGGCTTTCATCATCAGTGTCATGCTTATCGCAGCCAATCAGATGCTGCGGAACGGCATGGAGTAACCAATTGCACTGTGAGCATGGGGAGTGGACAGAACAGCCATGACCTCACATCTTGTCTTTGCAGCCAAAGCTGGACCACAACCCAAGCACTTCTCTAAACAATCAGTTGAGTTTTGTTTTTTTGTTTTTTTAAGTTTTATTTGAACTGAACTTACAAAGGCAGACAATGAGTAAAATAAGTAAAATGAAAGGAGTTGTATTGACGATGTCACCACATAGAGTCACTGGATTTACTGATCGTAAGGAACCTGAACTGCAAAAGAATTCTGTTTTTATATAAAACACTGAAATTAAGGGGGGAGGGTATTATTTTGTTGTTTTCAAGAACAAGACCACCCTTTAAACTTGATTTTCTAATTACCGAAAATGTGTATCAGGTGCTTTGAGCCATTCCTAATTACAGAAAGCAAATAATGGTTATTATGGACAACTTCAGAAGTTGCACTGAATGTGAAATGAGTGAATGGTGGGCACAGTATTGAAATGCACACACACACACACACACACACACACACACACACACACACACACATATATATATATATATATATATATATATATATATATATATATATACAAAAGACTTTGTGAAACATTTACATTAGTCCACCAGTCTTGGGTCACATACGTTCTATGTGAATCTACAAGAAGCACAACTCAGTACTCAGTGACAACCCACTCAACAGTCATTGCTATCCCACTAGTAGTATTGATTGATTCATTGATTGATTCATTGATTGATTGATTGGTCAAGGAAGATTTGTGTGAGATGTGAAAAACAGTGGTGTCCACGAGTAAGCTTGGAAAGGTTTTAAAAAAAATCTAATCAAATGGGGTGAGGACTGAAAAATATGTTTAGGAATGTACTGGGAGAAAATGTTTCATCTCAGCATGTCACTGTAATACTGCCCAGCTGTGGTAAACATAAACCAAACAAAAGCATGCCACAATACACACTGCCATACCAAACATTACCCCTACTTGTTCCCCATGGATTTCACTGTATATATAATACTACTTAGCTTATGTAATGTATTATTCCTCTCAACAGCAGAATGTATGAAAGATAGAAACTAGTGAGCTATATCAGGGATAGAGTTGTGACATGCTGTCTAATACAGTTGTTTTCTTGGACAAGGTTGCCGTCTAGTGGTGAAAATAAATACTGCAGGTAAACGCCTGAACAGCCATGTTTACTATGTCTACAGGGGGGAAGAACACCGCCAATAAATCTGAGCTTTGATATGTTTTTTGTGTCAGTGTCACAAGGGCACTTTGGTCTGTATTGGTCACTTTTTTTAACGAACATTTCTTTGCCAAACTGGATTGTTGCAACAGTTGATCAAGGTTGGATGAAAGACTGAAGGTGATACCTGTTGTAGTTTCTGGGGTCAATGCTGTGTTCTATGGTTCAGATTTAATAGAGATTTTTATTTTTTATTTTTTACAAGGCTTACTGGGATGAAAAAGTCCAAGAAAGACCTTGTAGGAGATTAGAATCATGCTCCTCTTCTTGCGTAATGGAGACAGCCAAGGTTGAACATCTCAGTGACACAATATATTAAATCTGAGGATGAAGCTGTACTCGGTGGTGTTGGTTTGGGGCTGGGGAATAAATAAACATCATTATTTATGTGCTGAGATTAGAACAGTATTGTGGGGACTGAGCAAAATGTTACGTTTTCATAAACAAATTTAAGGAATTAGTGAAAATTACAGCAAATATTGTTTACAGTTATCTTAACCAAATAGCCCAGCCCTATGTAGATGTAGCTTTATATATGCTAGTGTTTATTATTCCCGATTGCAACACGCCATAACAGCAGTGTAAGCGGACTGCACTGTGCTCCCCTGGGATATTATTGTAGACTTGTTTGTTCCCACTTAGAACTTGGAGCAATTTCACTTGTCTTCTAGCACTTTGGCAGGGCGGAGAAAAACAAAACTGGATGTTTCAGTCAAACTAATGTGCAACCACAAGTCCAGCTTAGACAAAATATAAAGAAGGTAAGAGGGGAGAGGGCTCTCTTTAAAAATAAATAAAAAATTTAAGAAAGCTTTGTATGATTACAGCAAAAATGTATAATACTGTAAATCAGTATGCATGTTCTTGTTTAGGTTTTCATGTCTTTGAAAGACAGGGAATCCAATAATCTTTCTTTGTGGTGGCACAGCCTTGGTCTAAATGTAGGTATGTATGTACTACTGTCACATACTGTATTTGACTTTCCAATTTATACAGTAATAGCCATTTTTCTAGTTTCTACCAGCTATTAATCAAATCAGAGTGCGGAAGAGGGCATTTTCATAAATATGCAAATACAAGGTCACGTCACCAACATCTCTGTTTCACGTCTCCTAGGGTAGAGTCTGTAGGCCTCACTGTGGATGGTTAAACTTTATATTGAATTCAATATATAGTGTGTTTTCTTCACATTAGGTTTTACTGGAATGTTCTCACTGCCTCATTGTCCTTGTATAAACTGCTGTATAATGTATGCTACACTTATTCCTGTAAGTCGGTTCGTCTTTGATATTGACATTTGACCAATGGGCCATCTCTTCGCCTTTGTCGATTAGCATCACAACCCTTTTGAAACCAGCATAGAGCGCTTTATCTTAACAATTCTCCGATAATTGTGCCATTCAGACATCCTTGCATGGCTATGTAAGGGAAACAAGACCTTTTATCGACACTTTTGATGTTTACATTGTTATACTGTACATCTGTATCAGGACAGGATCAATTCATGATTTTCATGTTTTTGAAAGTTGCTTTTAAGATTTGTTTTTACCAAAACATGTTTTTACCAGTTGTAGATTGTGTAAAGACAAATCCTAACACAGATATGTAAAACAACCTTGGCATGCTGCTTAGAAAAGGAGAAAGAAAACAGCAATAGTTACCAACTGAATGGATATTTAAAAATGCAAATAACGAGTTTAATCTGTTTAATCTAAAAAAAAAATTTAAAAAAAAAGTTATATCCATATATGTTTATGCAATAAAATTTTGTTTTGATAGAAAAACTATAGTAACTGTGGTTTATTTTGAAAGATGTGCAAGAGAGTTTGAAACAACTTACAAGAATTAAAGCAGCACAGAACGGTCAAACTTAACATCAGTTCAAGTGTGAGAACTTCTGTAAAAGCAGAAGTTTGGGGCCAGTCAGGAAGATTCCTGTGTTTGTGAACACAATGCCAAGAAGGAAAGGTGTTGGCAGTGATCTTGAAGAAGCAATTGTTTCTGCCTGTCAATCTGGGAAGGGTTACCTATAAGGGCAATTCCAAACAATTTGAAGTCCATCATACGACAGTGAGAAAGATTACTGAAGTGGAAAACAATTGGAAAACATTCAAGACAACTGCCAATTTTCCAAGAAGTGAAAGTGGAAGTCCAAGCAGATTCCCTCCAAGGTCACACCGTGCAACACTCAGAGAAATAAAACAGAGGAGCTATATTTCAGCCTTCACAGGCTTCAGCGTGCACGTTAAATGTTCAAGATGTTTGTGTGTATTTTTATTATGTTCAGACACATAAAACCTTAGAACTGAAAGTGAGTGTACTTTTTTTGTACATATAATTTTTGGCTCAAAGTAAGTTTGTAAGCAGCAGTGCTTTCACTTAGTGTTTATAATTTAAAGCTCAGGTTGTTGCTTTGTCACTTGCTATCATCATTGCAGTGTCATTTCTAAATATCAGGCTTAAAAATAGAATGACAGCATGGTTGGCTCTGAGCTCCTCTCATTCCCCACATACAGCAACATCCCAGAGTGAAAGCCCAGTATGACATCACCTTCATACAAATGCTCTGAGGCCATTAATCTTAGTGGGTGTTACAGACAAACTGCTTCTTAAAACTCAATTTGGCGTGATGCAGTCTGTAATGTCTAGAGGGGAACTAACACGTTTGTCAGCTCGTGTCAGACGGAGGATTCCAGTGGAGCAATGCTGGCATCAACGCCAACACTAAATCATGATAATTAGGGAGCATAGGTCAAACTCTAGTGAGAACAGCCTCATAGCAGATGCACCCGAACTCCATTAACCGCCAAATAATGAACCAAAGATGCCATTAGGTGGACAAACAAGGCATTATGCTTAGTGTAATGGTCCAGATAGATATTAACAGCCCAGCTTAGCTGCAAATCCTTCACTCTGTTATCATTGTGGGTGAAATTAACGGGTTGGACTTCATAAGTTAATTCCAGTTTGCTTTAAGGTATAATGTAAGAAATGGAACAAAGAAGTCACTGACAATGATTTGCATTAAAAAAAACTCTTTAATATGAGGTATTCACTGCAGATTCATTTTTCTTTTGAACCTCTGGAGCACATATAAATGCACAGGCAGCATGAATGTCAAACACTACTTTCCCTCTACACTTCTGAGCAAACAAAGATAATAAACAGCATTCAGTGCATTAAAGGGGACCTATTTTCTCCAAACTTTCTGTCATTCACATATGATGGTGGGTTCTGCTCATATTAAATGTGGTCAAAATTACAGTCTATTTAACAGATTTTTTCCTTTACATGTTTATACAGACATACAGTCCAGACAATAAGCACAGATCCCTGCCCACTTGTTGTGCAGACCTACTGTTTGTAAGAGGTAGCCAATCAGAAGAAAGCTGGCTCGAAGGGAGGGGTAAGGGAGATACTGTCTGAGAAGTGAGGGTCTGCACCAAGGAAGAGGACAGAATAAATAAAGATAAAGATTATATTGAACTTTAAATCCCGAAAAATATGGAGTATAGGTCCCCGTTAACATTAACAAATATCCACAGAAAAAACTGTTTATTTTCTTATGCGTTATCAGTGTGGGGTAAATCATATGCAACACTGACTTAAAGGGGGGGAATCATTTTCTGTATTAATACTGCTTCGCTGTCACTTGTGTAAAACATGGTATAAGATACCATAAAATACAATAAAGACTCCACTATGTAAACAATTACAATGTTTTTAGCATAAAGGCACAACTGTAACAGTGTCTTTTTAGATCAACTAAACACAGGACGACGTTTATTTATTTTTTTTATGTGGAAAACCTGCAGTGTCTTCTGTGTTATAGTTTAACAATAAATTAAAGCTAACAGGACAACTTCTTGTTTGACATACTTGTTACAAAATGCAAAAGAAAAAAAAACATTAGTGTTGGCATACAATAAAACAGTACGTTTAATACTCAATGTCTTCTTGTACCTTTTAAGTCAAATTATAGTGCCATTCACAGATTAAGTCTGAGTGTAGCTGCTTAGCTGCTGGATCTATGAGTTTCTTGCATTGTTTCCAAAGTATGTTCTGGTGAAGGAAAGGGACTGCTGGAACAGATATAATTAGAGACAGAAATAGGTAGAGAGGAAAATAGAAAAAGACAGAAGCAGAGAAAGAAAAGTGAAGTTTAGAACTCTGTGTGTGGGTGACTGTAGTCTCGACTGCCTCCTGGGCTCTCACTGGGCTTCATGAAGATACCCTCCATGGCTTTCCACAGACTGTGCTGGCTGGGGCTTGACATAGCATGAACTTCTGTCTGACCGTGGATCGGTCGTCCATACTGCTCCCCCGTCACAGACAGCAGTGCATCAGTGGCCCTGTGACGGAAGCGGATGGCCTCCTCCCGCTTCCATACGGATCCCCCGCACTGAACCGTCCACTCATCGAGGTGGTCTCCTTCTCCGTTTTCGCCAAATGCGCTCACCTCCTGTGAAAAATGAGAGAGAGATCAGAGGACTAGTGAAAACAGAATAAAGAAGAAGATGAGGTGCTTTCTTTTGTGGAAGCTCTTTGAAACCCTACAATGTTCCAGACATTTTTAAACAAAATAACCTCCTGATGTTTTTATGCATGCACGGCAGACTAAACTTTACTAGACATTACTGAGCTGTGTGTGGGAATGAAAATATCTAGATCAGTCAGATTAGACAACAATCTTTTACCTGGCAGCCCCCTAATCTATGTAATATTAGACTGAGCCCATAGAACTGTCTTCAAAATTGACAGCCAGCATTAGATCATTATGCATCCTGTAAACTCTGAAGGTGCCACCTGTCACCTAAACCAAACAAAATTATTAAAATCACAATTCTGTAAAATTCCTTAACCTGCAGGATACATCCACCCTATATGACCCCACCCCTTTGACCCAATAGGCTCATTTCCCTCCAAATCCAAATGAAAACAAAGGGGGTTATTTGCTTAATATTTATCAAAAGAATATGCCAAGACTGCTTGAATGCCCTTTAATCATCTTACATGTGATGCAGTGGACAACACATTTGCCTGACATGTGAAAGACCATTTGTTTGGAGACTGGCAGAAACCTAGCCTCAGGTGGTCACGAGCTAGCGTGCTGCTAGTGCCTGTCCCAAGATCAGATAAATGGGAGGTTTGTGTGAGGAAGGGCATGTGGCATAAACTCTGTGCCAAATCAAACATGGCAACCCACTGGGAAGTAAAGGAACAACTCAAAGTACGTTCTGATAATAGCTGAGGACAGTGAAACTCCAAAGGTGGTGGATACCTCAGTGATGTGAGATAAAGTCATGCAAACTTAAATCATTAAAACTTAAATAACATTCAACGATTAACTTTGAACTTTTTTACCACTGACATTTTAATAGAATTTGTAACTTTTTTCTTTTTCTTCTTTTATTAGCTGCTATTACCTGTGATGAACTGGTGATCTTTCTTGGGTGTATTCTCCCTCTCCCCCTATAACATTTGAGCTAAGTCTTAATCACACGCTGACTCTGATAAATGGTTTAGAAGATACATGCATGGATGCTTGAATGTGCACATCACATCCTATTCAGAAGCTTAACCAGCTTCGGTCTGTTTTTTCAGGGGTATTTACTGGAGTGAGAACAAATCTGTTGTAGATGCAATCGCCTGTCCATATCTGACCAATGTCCTGCTCTTTACTGCATCTAAAGCCTCGGTCACACAGACCTAGAAGTCAGTCGGGGAGTACCCTGGCAAACCAAAATCCTTGCAACCTCCAGCAAACACTAGACCAACTGAAATAAAAAAAAATTATTCGTTTGTGGTTAGCGTCGGGGAATACAGCTTTTTTCCTAGCAACTTGTGGTTGTCAGGGGTTTCCAAGTGGTTTCTAGGCCTGTGTGAATGGGGCTGCCCCTGTGTGAATGGGGCTGCCCCTGGGACTTGTGCAGTGTGGGATACTGTCTGAATCTAATTTACATGTTTGGATTTTATATATGAAAAATCCAGATGTGCAAATCACTCATCTTTTGACATGACTGAGGCAAATCTGCCCAGACTTAAACGGGGTACCCCGATGGCACGAGGCATTGCTGGTTGTGGTTGCCAGGGGTCACCAAACAGTCTCTGGGCCTGAGAAAGAAAGTGATGGTTTCCTTTTTTTTTTTTAATTTTTAGAATTTTCAAAAATCCTTATTCTGTCCTTTGCAGTTTTCCAGCTGCGTAAATATAGCTGTTGACTGTGTTAAACAACCTTCACAGATTTTAATATTTATCAGTTAATAGATCACAACGCCATGTATACCATTTTTTTTTTTATCTGGTGTCTTATCTCATCACCAAAGGTTCGGTGAAATACATCCCAGTCCACTGAATGGTGTGCTAGTACCGCTCATACCAAATTACTGGGCTTCGTGAGTGGATGAGAGCTCCTGACAATATAAAGTGTATATTATGCAGTCATAGTTGTCTATGTACATGAAATTATTTACTATTGTGCTAATTTCACATTGATATACAGTTGTACTAAAAGCTTAAAAATTATTATAGGAATGTTTATTATTGGCTATTGACCGGATAAACTAATCTTTCAATCAGAATCGATCTGGATGAATCAGTCTTGTAACTCACAAAGCAAGCTTTTGCACTAATTTTTCGATCACTCAAAATGATCTAACACACCCAGATATTTATTGGCCAAAAACACGTGATACGATCAGCCATGCCAGATCCTTCTGAGTCCCCATACAAATGGAAATTATAGGTGTGGAAACTGTTCCCAGTGCCATACTAGTAAAACCACATAGTTTTTTTCATCCATTTACCGGTAAATATTTTCAGACTATAAGTGTGATTACAAATTTATGAAAGTGGCAAATGCGATTTGTCACTTTCATAAGTATTATGCGATAGCAGCCCATTTTAATAATATGTAACATGATATAGCATCTTTTTACAATTTTGTGGCATTGAGCATTGCCAGCACCCCCTGGGGATTTATTATTGAAGAGAAAAGAATTTGCAGAACTTGTACTCAATGTAGTTTCTTCATAATTTTTTTTAAAAATTAGATTTGTTTTGAGATGTGATATATTAATATTGGGATGTTGGTATTTTTTTAAAAATATACATCACTGATTTGTCCAAAGTATGAATATTTGTTGTAAACTGGTTTTATAATTGAGGTAATTTATGAATTTAAGTGACAATTTCAGAATAGGAGACATGGATGGTCCAGTTTTCGGATCAGGTAGTGATGTTAAATGTTATTTGGCTTTTTGAAGATTGTGTTGAAGTTTCGAGTGGACTCATTCATTACCTGATTGATAGTATGCAGTGTGAGATGTCTAGCCAGGAAACTGTTTTTTTTTTGTACATGACAAAGGTCACACAGACTGAAATGTTGTAAGTCAATAAAAAATGATGATAAGCTGGACAGTGTGCGGAGGTTATATATTGTTACACCCAATTATTACAATTTCAGCATTTCTTTATCATGTAGAAAAAATATGATGTACAGTTGTAATTGCACTTCTTTTTATTATATTTTAATATCTCAGATATTAAATGTAAAGAAATATAAACTAAAATTTCTGTTTTCCTAAGGCACGCATCTTCCAACCCTCTGACACTTTGGTCAGACAGGGTTCTCACACTTTCTCAGGATTTGGGAGTTTTACGCTGACCCGAGGCTGTTTTCCCAGAGAGTTTGTTAAGTATAAAAGCTGCTGTCAACTCAGGTTCACTGCAAAAATGTTGGTTTAGTTTTGAATAAAAGTGAAAGGCAAGCACCCTGTTTTTGTGTGTCTGTGTGTGTGTGTTTACACAAGACTACACATTAATAAATGTTACAGCTGTTTATCGCTTCAGTGTTTTTCCTAATCTTCCTAATTCCTAAATTTATTATCAGCTTTTTTGATTAAGAAGAAAAAAAAATAAAGTCCATCTTCTACACACTGACATCCTTCCCCAATTTTTGCAAAGAGAAACCTGGTAAATCCCACACATAGCCCCAAAGCTCTCAGCTTTTCCCTTGTACTTCTCGCACCACCCACCTGGTTAGATGACAGCGGGGAGGCGAAGTAGTGGCTATGCAGGTTACGTCCTGTGTTGACATGAGTGAGGCGAATCGTCTGCCCACACTTAACTGGGGTACCTCTGTGGCACAAGGCATCACTGGTCCCGCGAACACTCCAATAGCTGTTGCTGTCTTCTACTGCAGAAACCCCTGTTACAGACTGCTGTCCACTACCTGCCTCAGAGACACAGTCAGCAGAGGATTGTTAAAGATATTAGAGACAGTTCAAATAAAAAAATAAAATTTCATCTAGAATAGAAGATTGTTATTTAAAACCAGTCCTCTGCATAACTTATGAACTTTGTGTATGTGATGAAGGTTAGGTTTGCTTTATTGGTCAGTTTTTGGCAAACAACAATTCCATATGCTGGTGTGCAACTACAAGTCAGTGCGGTGAAACAATGTTATACCTAGAGTTTTCTGAGTATACAGTAACATTTCTTGTTATTTCCTTTTGTGATGCATTATTGCATACACCAGTGCCAAATGCTGATATTAGGATTAAAACATGCAGGTACTCTAATAGGAAACAGTAGAGGTGGAGGTATTCACTGGAGACAAAAGGAATGAAACGTCACGAATATCAGGGGTGATTTGTGACAGAAGGATCGCGGCAAGTGTGAGAAGGAAAGGTTTACAAGATGGCAGTGAGACCTGGCGTGATGTATGGTTTGAAGACAGTAACACTGACAAAAACACAGGGTGCTGAGCTAGAGGTGGCAGAGTAGAAGATGCTTTGATTTTTGTTGGGAGTGACCAGAATGGACAGGATTAGAAATTTATATATTAGAGGGAGACGTGAGGTCATGCAGTTTAGAGACAAAGTTAGAGAGACAAGGCTGAGGACATGCAGAGTTTCTTACAGAGGAAAAAAGAGTGACATGGTGGCAGATGATCTGCTGTGACGACCCCTACCCAGAGCTCATGGCTGCTGGTGAGGGTAGGGGTGAAGATTCACTGGTAAATCAAGAAGTTCGCTTTTACACTCAGCTCTCACTTCATTACAATGGACTGGTACCATGGGCGCCAATCTCCAGCAATCTCCCCCCATCACTCATAAACAAGACCCCAAGATACTTGAACATCTCCACTTCCTGACCAGGAGTGTGCCTTCCAACCTTTTCCAGCTGAGGATCAAGGCCTCAGACTCAGAGGCGCTGATTCTCATTGCAAGGGCACCAGCTTATTGATTATTGTTGTATCATGATACCATCCATCTTCTTGGAAACATATCATGATAGTATTTTACTGTGTACAGGTGTCATTTGCATCTGTACTCAGAGTTTATGGGGTTGTTATAACTGATACCTCTAAACCTCTATCGCTGACTAGTACTTGCACATATTTAACACCACCCTGGGTTCTTGCTCTGTCAGCTAGTACAGATGGAAAGAACCAGTGTAAACACAGTTTATGCTGCTGACTTAGAGGGGCTGCATTTTGTGTTGGAGATGTGATTTCACCTTCGCTTCTTCTGTCTGTCAATAAAAGACCACAAAGAAACAGAAACAGTCGTAACTGTGTTCTAACTGTGGTTGTGCACATAAACGTTTTTATTTGTCTCACCAGCAAACCTTAGAAACTGAGCTGACCTCCTAAAACGTGTCACATTTAACTGCAAACATGATGGAGTTAAGTTGAACATTATGACAAACTCACACTGACACAGTTAATGGATGAAAATTAAAAAGTCAGAATTGTATTTTTATCCAACAATGCAAACTTAGTTACGAAGGAAAATAACTGTAGTTATTGTTAGCTGAAAAACACGAGTGTTTATGAATGAAACGATTAGTTTTGACAGCAAACTTACCGGACCCGTAGCGTACGTCGTGCGAGTGTAGTCTCACGTTGTGCTTTAAATTCAACAGTTTAATGACTGATCCGCAGGTCACAAAGCTCAGTTCCGTGCCAAGGGAGAGTCCAAACACACAGGAAAACAACAACAAAATGGCCTGTACAAAGCGTGGCATACTTTCACAGTTTAATTTACCCATTCCTTCTTTGTTTAAAAGCCAAGCACATCCAGCCGCTGATCCTTCTCAGAGATTTGCCTTATTTTTCGCTACGTCATTAAAAACGTACAGTAAGCCAGTGTTGAGATCAGGAGACAGCGCCTCTAGCGGCTCGGAACGGCATCTGCGCGGTCTTATTTGGTTTTGGGGTTATTTAAGCGTACTGTTTGGCATCTTAAATGATATTTATACTATAAAAAATACCTTAACGATAGTAAAGGTTGTCATATGGCATGGTGTTATTTTAGTTGTTTATGTGTGTATAGAATCGAGGTAAACCGCAGGGTAGTGATGGGCAGATGAAGCCTCATGAAGCACTGAAGCTTTTCATCTAATTGGTTGGGAGGACATCCTCCTCTTCTTAGCTGGCTCCATTCTCTCCTGACTTTCTCTCCTCACTCTCAAACTCCAAACTGTCTCCAAACTGTCTCCAAACTCTCACTAACCGCAACTCTCCATCAAACACCCACATTTTGAATGAAGTCTGAGGGGTTTATATCGCTGTCATATCTCGCGGCAAAGTTCGAACCA